TTTTTCTTTCGTGTATTTTTTCTTGGTTCTTTTTTCTCGGATTTTCGATAAAATTTATTTGATTTACGGGATATGATTCTATTTATTTATGCTCTTAATTTAGTTGTCCATGCCGTAGACAGAATTGTTTTCGAACTTGCATTTGAAAATGAGTCTGATTTTCTGGTTACGACTTTATTTTGTTCTGTGAAATTATTTTTTCTTATTTGACGTTAATATTTTTGATGTCTTTTCGTTCATGAATTTGTGCTGTTTGTATATTTGATTTTTGTTAAGGGAATTTTTTAATTCCTTCATTTCATCCCATAATTACGTTAAATATTTTCCCTTTTCCATGTTTATAAAAGCATTGTCTTTCTTTGTCGAACAGGTGTGAAATATCGGCATTGTTTTATAATTCTTAATTGATGTGTTGAGGTTTTTCTGCATTAATTGGGAGAGGACGTTATCTAATATAGATTTAGGAATTATGAATAAGATCTCTGTAAATAGAATATCTACTTATACAAGGCATTATTTTACAGCATGTGTGATTCCGGGCTTATTATTGACTAAGTTCCTGGCAAAATAAGTCTGGAAAATATTTGTAACTAAGTACATTCGCAAATGTTCCAACTCCAGCTTAGTTGAGACAAAAACCTAAGGTGCCAATCGTTGCCAAGCGGTAGAGGAAGTTTTACCTGTTCAGGTTAATTTTGGTTGAAAATCAATGGAAGGTATCTTGAGCAGCGTGATAGATACTTTATTTCAGTATCTTACCTGTCACTTGTGCTCCGGCGCTGTGCTGGTGGTATCACAGCTATGTCTAGGTTGAACCGGTTCGTGCCTGGACCAGCTATTACAAGTCAAGACCAGCCATGACTAGCTTAGACCAGCTCTGACCAGCTTGGACAATCTATGACCAGCTAAGACCAGGTTAGACCAGTGACCTGAGTGGAAACACTCGGGTTCCCCACGTTAAAACCGACATTGTGTCACATCCTGACTCAGTGGGGCGCCAAGTAAATACCTACTTTATTTCAGTAAATTCATTTCGTTTTTTGCCTTGAAAAATCTGCAGTGGATGAAACGCTTCTGTCTTTTTTTTATATATATATATATATATATATATATATATATATATATATATATATATATATATGCATCCTATACGGAACCGTCATATACGCTGACGTGCCTTGACCGCTCGGCCACAAAGAACCTTACGGTAGACAAGGTCGAATTTACTGTTTATAAACTTTAATCTTCCATGAATCTCGTACATTCATAACTGCTCTGGCGTATCGAATGTAAACAAATGACGTCATATGTTAAGAAATGGACAAGGTCCGACAATTTATTTATTAAAGACATTTTTATGTTTAACGTTGTTATTTATAGATACAAGTATTTAAGCAAATGCTCTGTTTATGATAAACAGTATTAAATAACATTTACCGGCCTGAATGTCCGAGAAATTTTCATAGAAAAGAACGAATATTTTCTATGAAAATTACAGAAGATTGATCGTTGCCTTTAAGTATTGCATGAATATTTAAGATTTCCTTTTAAAAGTACAACGATACTTATTCTGCAGCCACTTAATTTAAAGACAGTTTGCTGCACGTAGGTCATTCCTTTCTGTACACACAATTATATTTATTTTGTTGTGTCGTCGCACAATAGTAAAAAAAAGAAAATCAAGTCGCAGTTGGTTAAAGAACAAGTGTATTTAACATCACAGATACAAAGGTAGGAAACGGGTACGACTCAGCTAGGCAGTTGTAGTACTGTCGCTGCTTACATCGGGTAGGTATTACTGGCACTATATATAGTGAGAACCGGTGTAATTCCCTTGTGTTAGAGGCCGGTGCAACGTATTTCATGGGTGACTTTTGATGGATTTCGCATTAATTTCGATTATTCTAAATTTTTTTTCCAAGTTATAAAAATTGTTATTGTACAAAAAATTCGTCGAAAGGAATCACATACAAAAATCACTGCAAGCAATCGCAGTAATGAAAACATGATGGCGACTCCGGATACGGTCCGGAATGTTTTTAATTTGCTCACAGAATCGGCCTCATTTCAAAGAGGGCCTCTAGGAGTAAAGTTGAAAGAGTGTGATACAGTGACATAGTGATATTTGCATTTATTATATAAAAGAATAACAGCGATGTTAAGTTCAATAACGAAGATCAAGGTTCATATATAGGGGAATAAAAAGAAATAAGTGTAATTATTTATGAAAATCTAATTCTCAAATCAGATGACATACAACTAAATGTTATGGATGAATAAAATATTAAATTAGAAATTCACACAGACATAGCCTCAAATACATGATATATAGGATTTCCGTCTATATTTCTGAGATAAGATATTATATATATTATTTACATTATTTGGATTATTGTTCTCAGCTTTTCCGCCATAATTATCACAACGTTTCGGCCTTTGTACGCTCCGGCATTCTTCAGGTGGTTGGAATGTCGAACTCAACCCTTTATTTCGTGCACTGGTAAAAAATGGTTGCTGATGACATTAGGTTTATAATACCCAGAAATTCCTGCAAGTCATCAAGGACACATCGCACAGTGGATAAAGGCGTAAGTTAGATCAAGTGACAAAGATTGTGAGTTCAATACCCGGTTAAGGCAGTGAAGAACTTGGAGGGGGGAATTAACGGGAGATAACTGACAACTGACATCCATTAAACATGGCACGTGGAACTAGAACAGTCTACCCAAGTGAGCGAAATAAAGGGTTCAGTTTGAGATTCCAACCACCTGAAGAAGGCCAGAGAGTACAACAGCCGAAACGTTGTAATAAATATGGTGACAAAGATGAGGACAATAGCCTGAATAATGTAAATAATGTATATCCGATTTCTATATGTAAATTATACAGGGTGAGACCTAAATACTTTCCATACAATGGTAAGACATTACTAGTTAATGTATTACATTGTATGGGGGCATTTCTGGGTTGTATATAAGGGTGGCATTTCGACCGCAATACTAACAGGAACAAAATGATAACCAGTGACATACTTAAAGAATAACAACTACATTCTCAAACAGTTGTGCATTTTGTTTTCAGTATATTTATTAAAATCAATTTTTTATAGCCTCGTAGGATATTCTTGTTCAGTTGTGGTTAGTACATGCAAAATGTCAACAAACTCTGACAAGATATGCTGCCAATAGGAATAGTGGACGCAGGCTTTTTACGAAGAGTAAACGTTTTGATCTAGTTTTAATAAAGGTAAAATAAGGCATGCATCACTATATCGATGGTTGTAGCATATGGTCTGGATGTCCCCGCTGTTCATCTCCAGTTCCTTGAAAAAAATCCAGAGACGGATATGATAGGTCCTGATCTGGCATCTCGTTTACAGCCACTTTATTACAGGCGTGCTGCGGCTTTCCTTTGTCTGTTCTAAAAATATTTTCATGGCAACTGCTCTTTGATACTTTTACTGGTACCCAAAGTGCATGAATTTAAGCGTGCTACTAAGTTGGTATCTCGGTCCCATTCTTTCACTGTAGAAACGGTCTAATGTAGCCGTCTCTTCTACTCTAACAACTTCTTATCTCGCACATCCTGACATTGAAACCCCCCTCCTCTTACTTGCTTCCCTGATAATTATAATCCTCAAATATTCAAATGTAATGTCAATCGACATCTTCTGATGCTTTGATGTTGATCCCTGTCTTTTTTCTTTATCCTTTCCTCAAACACCTCTCTTTTACTCTTGCTCTCACTTTCTGAAACCCCTTGTGTGGTAGTGGCACTCTCGCCTTGCCTTTGGGTGATATACATATATATATATATATATATATATATATATATATATATATATATATATATATATATATATATAAAGCTGCGTCGTCTGCTCAAAAATATTCGTTCATTGCTAAAACAGTCTTCTGTGTGCACACAAGACTTATATCACTGGAAGAATCTTGCTTGGTCTGTAAAGGCTTGTTTTCTACTCAATGAAGTGGATGTCAGACTACATAGTCTTCATTCATAAAGCGAGATAGCGGCATGGATTGAGGAATCGGAGAGCCGAGTTCGAATTCCAGTCGAATCCCTTACTTACTTGGGAATGATATAGAATCCTCTTTTCTCCCCCTAGCCATGCTTAATTAGCAGGACAGACCGGGTTCTATAGCCTTGGATGGCAACTCTTCTACCGCAGAAAGAAATGACAACCTACTGCGTGATAAAAAAAAAAAAATCTGCCACGTCAGTCATGTATCGAAAAGATACATGATCGCCTAAACGTGGATCACGCATGGCACATAACTGAATGACATGAAAGGAGCGTAGTAGAAACAGTCCATTGGAGCCAGTGTAATAGTTTGAACAATATTGTACTGTTATACATGGGAAGGTATTTTGTTTTGAGCATCATCTGATATCAATATATTTTTAGCATTTTTAAAGCATTTGCTACCTGTATGATCCTTTAAGTTTTAAAATTAAATATATTATTATCTCACAGTGAGCTTTATTCTATCTTATCACTGTTAGTTTAAGTACTGTGCTTGACATAATGTTTTAAGAGATGTGAAATAAAAAGAAAATAACTAAAAAAGATAATTGAAATCATATCGCGGCCATTCTTCATTCATGGGTATCATATGAAACGCTTGGTCGGCCGAAGTTTCGATGGAACAGTGTAGAATGAATCTATAGCCTTTATGTTAACTTGTCCTCCTTTTTCTACTGTTTAGAATATCGATTGCCTGCCAAATTGCGCTATTCAAGTAACATGGATAATAATGATGGCAAGGAATTGCAGGGTCGAAGAAAACAAACTGAATTCCTTATCTCGAAATTGGCGTAAATTAACGAAAGAACTCGTTAAGAAAATGTTTGACTTAATTCAAAGTGGAATCAGATTGAGTGCAGCGAGGTGGAGGGAAGAATACATGTGAGGATCGGTGTGAGGATTCCGGTCAGAATTGGTGCAGTAATAAGAAGTAATTAGTGGTCGCGATTCGCTGTTATTGGAGTAGGAAGGAGCCTCCTCTCTCTTGATATATGTCGGGAGTGGCTCCGCGGTTTGAGAGATGAGCAATACACAACGACAAATCATTGTCTTTATTAATATAGCAGCTATTCGAGCACACAGCTAGGAGAGAATAAAAAGAGAAAGAATGTGAGAAGATATGTTTGGTGGAGGGCGTGAGAAACGGACAATGAAAGAGAGAATAATAAGCGATGTGTACAGTATAAGTCAAATTATATGGCACTAGATGAGATGCCAATTTTGAAATTGAGAATTTTGCTTTCTGTTTGCCTCCACTCCCTATAAATCCTATGTTTCTCCATGATCTCGATGGTCATGGCTCTCCAAAAAAAATCCTTTTTTTTTTGCTCTCTGTAAGACTTGCTATTTTACAACTCACCATTTTCTTTGCTTTATCGTTTTTTCTTCCATACTTTTAATCAACCTTGTCAAACGGTTACCAACAGTTTTCCCCCGCTTCTGATGCCTTCAACGTTCCTTGGGAGTATTAAGTTCTTCTTACTTTCTTTCTTTATATCTAGAAAAAGGGCGCGGTTCAAAATTCGAATCACCTGAAGAAAGCTGGAGTGTGCAACGGCCGAAACATTGTGAATATGGCAATGGGGATGAGGATAACAATCCGTATAATGTAAATAATGTAAATTACAGTCCGAACGATGTAAATAGCCTAAATAGTTAAATTACCTCCTCCCAGAAATATAGACAGAATCTTCAAAGTGTTAATAAGCCGTAGAAAACGAACCAATCGATCATCATTGCTAAATTAACAAAATTCTTGAAAAAAAAAAAAGCAAATAGATATTTAATAATGGAAGAATAATGTTAAGGGGAATGAATTTCTCCTTCTGTAAAACGTGTTTCTTCAGGAAATTAGCGAGATGGCTCTCCACAACTTCTCATCGTTTGCATCTCTTATGTTTGTCTTTTTTACCACCCATCTCAACAGCTGTTATACCATCGATTAACATACGTTTATACGGTAGTTTGCCCGACAGTTTTCCCCCGGTTCTGATGCCTTCAAGGTGCCTTGAGAGTATTAAGTTCTCCTTACTTTCCTTCTTTATATCTCGAAAACCATAGCCGTTAGTTGATGATTAAAGAATGAATTCTTTCAAATATACGAAAGATGTACATCGTATTCTAGAGAGACAAAACTGCAAGCATGAAATAGAATATTTTTTCCCAAAATTGTATTTGTTTTCAATTCGTAATTGCATAACATGTATCCGGAAGTTTCTTTTGTTATTATATATATATATATATATATATATATATATATATATATAATATATATATATATATATATATATATATATATATATATATATATATATATATATATATATATATATATATATATATATATATGTATATATATATACAGTTTTATCTTATAGAATTTATCTATACAAATCTACTTATATATACATATATATATATACATACATACAAATACATATATATATATATATATATATATATTCTCTTTTGACACACACACACACACACACACCTACACACTTACGTGTGTGTGTCGGTGGGGTGTATGTGCGTTTAGTATTTAGTGGAAAGTGCTCAATATTCATGATAGAGCTAACATATGCGGTTACATGGACAGTGGTTTGTGACCTTATGTCAAGCGGTTTTTCTTAAAATCGCGAAAGCGTGAATACAAAGGTAAACAACAACTCTACATGCCATCGCATATATATATATATATATATATATATATATATATATATATATATGTGTGTGTGTGTGCGTAAAAGACAATTGGAAAACTGTAATATTAGCTGACGCGTTTCGTCCAATGTGTACTTTTTCAAGGCAAAAACGAAATGAATTTATTAAAACAAAGTAACTAACAATAATAAAACAAAATGTCCTTAGCAACTGGAAGAATTTAGAAAACGCTATTATATTGATATTGTCAACTGAAAAATTATGTCAAGTACTGCTGTCGCGTGTGGACATATTGTTTTTATTGCTGTGTTGACGAATTCAATCATTTTCTTTTGATTTCTTGATACAGTTGTATACGTTTGTTTGGGAGAGTAGTAATACTGTTAGGGAAGATGAAATAGGAAAAAATCCTGATACTGTAAATCTTTGTTTTAATACATTTCATTTTTGCCTTGAAAAAGTTCACAATAGACGAAACTCTTTGGCTGATATTACAGTTTTCCTATTGTCTTGTATGTACATTTATAAATATTCTGCATTCCATTAACGTTAAATCACAGATCGCGTTCTACTTTTGATACACTAAGTGATGACGTCACTGGTTGATTGTTTGTGTCACTAATGCAAATAGCGGATGAGTGATACAAATGTTTTACAATAACATAGGATACGTATCATACCATCAAAAAACCAAAAAAACTGATGTGATGTTTAATCTACGATGACAGCGATCTTGATTTTAATGTCTTTATTAGCAGACCTTGGTAATTTTTAAAGTTCGCTAATTTAACCGATACCCACAGTGTACCTAACGGTGTGTATTGTAGCTTATTTGATAAGCAACGCATATCGAAGTATATAACGTATATTCTCTCAATACATAGGTAAGTGGTGTGACCTTATTTAACTTGGGTATAGGAAATCGTATACTATAGCCTACCTTAATTTACTGGTAGGCTTAGGTTTTGGGGGTACTTATAGTCTGCCATATATTTGGCGTCAATAGATACAGTAGATATAAGCCTGACTAATTTTAGCTACAAATGCGAAGTGACTTAGCTCTCTCGATAGTGACAGTGAAGACACTGAGATAGTCATGAACAGATAGACTGGGATATTGACAGACAGACAAATACAGAGGCGGATAAGTAGAGAGAAAACGAATTAGATAAACAGATTAGATCAGATATTCTCAACCAGGGGTAAATTTATCATCATCGCCTGAAAGCCGATGATGATATGAGAGTAGCATTATCAGAAACAGCTCCTCGTATAAACAAACTGATTGACTCAATGAATAAGCAATGTTCCCACTGATAATGCTTCTGCTGTTTCTCTTCATTATTTTTTGTAATACAAATTAACTTCATAATTTTCTATTAAGAAAAGGTTTGATTTTCTTCTTTTTTTTTATACGAATGTATAATACTATTTTTATACAAAACCTAAAATCCTAAACAATAAAAAGGTTCTTTCTGACCTTCTTTGTTTTTCTGTCACTTTATGACATTGATGTACAAATGAATGAGGGATTACTAATTTTTTGATCAGAATACTGAATGTTTACTAATTTTTAGTATTTTTCAGTATTTTTTATTTCTGTTTTAGTATTTTTACTAATGACTAATTAATCATTCATTCAAAAAAAAAAATTTTTTTTTAGTATTTTTCAAATATTTTTTAAATTGCCAAAAACAAAAATACTAAAAATAAAATTTTTTTGAATGAATGATTATGATTCGTATTAATTTGTAGATCTACTAATACAGCGGATAAAATGAATAATTTTTTTTTATTAATGACTACAAACGTTAATAAAAATACTGAATTTTATACTGAGTACTAACTTATACTAAAAAATTAGTAGATTAGTACTAAATAAGAAATCACTATTTTGAGTGTCGCTTAGTATTTTGACAAAAAAAAAGCCCTTAGTATTTTGAATGAAAGAAATCATTCATTCATTTAGACACGAAATTGTACATCAATGCTTTATGAAGGCTATGAATTTTTTGTATGGGAGTAGGGGGGGGGGTAAATGGAGAAATACATAAAGCTGAGGGGGTCAATGATGGAGGAAAAGTTGAGAATGCCTGGATTAGATATTAATAGATAAATATTAAGCTAAACGCTTGATAGATAGTAACAATGAAATATGCTAAAATGATATAAATAACTACGAACAGACAGGCCCTTATAGATAGATAGATAGATAGATCGATAGATAGATAGATAGATAGATAGATAGATAGATATGAATAATCTGAGTGAGATATAACTAAACTGAGATAGATATGACTAAACTGAGATAGATAGATAGGTAGATAGATAGAGAGATATGACTAAACTGATAGTATCAGACTAAGATAGATAGATAGATAGATAGATAGATAGATAGATAGATAGATAGATAGATAGATAGATATGAATAAACTGAGATAAATATTAATAAACTCAGATAGATAGATAGATAGATATGTATAAACTGAGATAAATATTAATAAACTCAGATAGATAGATAGATAGATAGATAGATAGATAGATAGATAGATAGATATGAATAAACTGAGATAAATATTAATAAACTCAGATAGATAGATAGATAGATAGATAGATAGATAGATAGATAGATATGAATAAACTGAGATAAATATTAATAAACTCAGATAGATAGATAGATAGATAGATAGATAGATAGATAGATAGATAGATATGAATAAACTGAGATAAATATTAATAAAGTCAGATAGATAGATAGATAGATAGATAGATAGATAGATAGATAGATAGATAGATAGATATGAATAATCTGAGAGAGATATAACTAAACTGAGATAGATATGACTAAACTGAGATAGATAGATAGATAGGTAGATAGATAGATAGATTAGTATAAAGTAAAACATAAATATACCGAAAAGAAACAAAGTTACTGCGAAGGTATGACTAAAAGTATAATTTATTCCTGAAAGGAAATGGGAGTAAAGGGGAAAATGTTTCATTGTGTTAGAGGGAGAAAGGTAGTGCGAATAAGCAAGATGGGAAAGAAAGAAAGAAAGAAAGAAAGAAAGAAAGAAAGAAAGAAAGAAAGAAAGATTGCTGACGAAGGAGAAAGTGAGAAATCGAGTTGGTGTGTTTGGGGATGAAGCGATGTACTAAATTGAAAGGAGGGAGCATAAAAAATAGATAACGATAGATATATTTATAGAAGCGTAATATGAGCAAAAAGTTAATGAGTAATGATAGCAATATGAAAACAAGAGGAGGAGGAGGCAATAGTGATAAGTAAATAACTATATAGAGAGAGATATATATATAGAGAAGCAGAAGACAGATTGCAAATAAAGTGGGAGGAATAGAATGTGGAGATGATGGATACAAGTTGGTTCATAGGTTATAAATATCCCAGGCAATTCCCATGAAGATCGTCAAAGACGCTCTCGTTAAATTTGGCAGGAGAGGCCGGCGAGAATGCAAGAGAAGGATCGGAGCAATATTCCGGGCGGAGTCTTTTTGGACACACCTCGCCGGCCTATATTGTTATCGGGCGAATAGCAGAATGATGATAAAGCAAAAAAAAAAAAAAAAAAAGAAAAAAAAATGGAGGCAAGCTGGCGAATGCTTGCTTTTCCTTTGCCCTCCCCGACCATGGATTGTCTTTGCTTCGAGAGTAACCTCACTATACATCTGGAGATATGCTCCCACCCAGGGAAAATAAATGATGGCCGACGAAATCCTCACTTCGAAGGGGATAAGTCGCGTGTGAATTTACTAAATTATTTATTTGCCTTCTACGCAAGTTCTACTTTCATTTCTTGATTATTGTCCTGCTAAATTTAATTTCGTATTATGACTAAAAGAAAGGAATTATTTACCTTTATTCATTCCTGTATATAATTATTAGGTTGGTGCAAAAATAATGACGTAACAATGTCGTTTTTGACGTATTTTTTTTAACGTCAAAAACGACATTATTACGTCATTATTTTTGCACCAACCTAATAATATACAGGGAGCGATGGATAAATTATCGTCTAAATTACGGGAAAATGAAAATAACACTAACATCTCATTTTAATTGATATTTACCAAAATTACACAAAAAATATCTTCAAATATTAAAGAGTAAATTTATTCAATTAGATCGCCATTGGCTTCAACCACGGCCTCCAGACGATTTCGGAAACTCCCGTAAATCTTTTGGACAGTCTCCTTGGTTAAATCGATGAATGCTGGCATAATGCTTGCCTTCAGTTCATCTTTGGTGTTACAAGGAGTTTTGTTGGTCTCTCCTTCAACTGCGCCCCACAAGTAATAATCAAGGAGATTCCAATTTGGGTAGTTAGATGGCCAGATGTAAGAGGTGATGTGGTTGAAGAAATTGGCTGAAAGTCATGACTGCTTTCACCTGTGGCGTGGTGCAGAGTCCTGTTGCCAGACATAGGGTCTTCCAGCAGCCAACCTCATCAAGGCACTTGATGTAGGTGTCTGTGTTGAGCCTGAAACCCTCACCAACAAATCCGTAAGTTCTTTTCTTATTAGAACGTCTAGAGTGAGCTTTTCCAGCTGCTATACCTTCGTAATCACCACCAGACTTATCCAACTCTTTCATAAACCTATGCACAGTCCTTAGATTGGCATCCAAACACACTGAAATGTTCGTATTGGGGCTTCAAGCGCGAAATACCAAGCAGTACAGAATGTCATTTCTAAATTATTTCTGGAGTGAATTGCGTCATAGTGCTCCTTTTTTTTCAACTGACCCTAATATACTGGGCAGTCGACAAAATCAAAATCATACGCGAAATTAAAAATATAAAATGGAAAAAAAAATTACACATCGCTGATTGTATACGAAGAAGAAGTGACAAAATGTCTCATATAAATCATATTCTTAGCGATTTTTAATGATGCTTTTGTCTAGACTTTCGCTTTTTACTTGACCTTTGCCCTGCCCTAATCCCATCGTTAAAAAGACAATAACTTTAGTTAATCGCTTTCAAGTAGTTACTGTGTGAATAGAAATCGATTGTGATCAGGACAGTCACAAAGAAGTGAATGTTAAATTAATTTATCTTAGTCTGAAGCTTTTTTTTTTATTTTGATTTACGAAATGCGAGTTTCAAACTAAAACACGCGATAAATATGTGAAAACTTTCGGAACAAGTGGCGCTAGAACGGATGGTAGAGATTTCTGTTTGTACACATATAAATAGAAATATTTAGAAGTGAGGGTACTTCCTAGTCGAGAGTGATTTCCGAGGCAGCTAGTCTTGATATCCAGATAGGCAGATGGTCGTAGGAGTGAGGCAGATTTCTTGTTGGGTGAAGAGACAAGCGCATCAGTAACCTGTCAGGAAATCTTGAAGTTGTCCAAGTGTCACTATTTTTTAATCATTTCACCCCAAGCAAGGCAATAAAGCTTCTAAGACGCAAGGCTTACTGAGTTTTAGACCTTCTGCGAAAAATGCTCTTAAGGAGAGAGAACAATGAAAGAACTGGAATCAAAAAGACGGAAGATAACGATTGACATTGCATTTAAATTTTTGAAGATCAAAGTTGACTGGGAAGCCTAAAACCAAGAGTTTCATCGGCGAGAAGTGCGACAGAAGAAACTCTTAGCATAGAACTTACGGTTATATCTAGCCCTTTCAGGCATAAACTGATGGAAATTTTCTGTCAATCTAGTAGTCCGCTTAAATTAATAATGTGAGACCATTTACGAGGCAGAGAAAGGAAAAGAAAGAAAAGAAGGCAGAAAGAAAGGCGAGACGAATCGTGGGTGATCAGCAGAACACACACACGGCTAAGAGACAATGAATATATTGATAAGTAACAAATGGCGAAAAGGGTGTCATTACAATGACAGGGAAATTCTGAGTAAAAAGAAAGGGAAAGAAAGAAAGAAACAGATGTGTTTTGATAACGGCTGTGTTATCTAGGAGTACGTACACAAAACGGCTGGTCGGCTGGCCAGGGAAAAATTCAATTGAAAACGTTAATTTTGATAATTGACAAAACACAGGTGTAACTACAGGACTTTGGGTAAATATGAAAAATTAAAAGCCACACAAGCCGTGTCCGCTGACCGTTTTTTTTTCGACGAAACAACTTTGGCCTGCGATAATAAAATTATGTTATCAGAAAAATGTACCGAAGGAAAATGAATGGGGACCCAGAAGTGTTTTTTCTTCTTCCTTGGAGGCGACAGACTGACTGAAACTTTAGAGATATTTCTTTTTTGAGGCCGTCTTAAGAAGACCAAACATTTTGATAATTAGCGATAAAATATCTGACAAAAACCACGTGTAGAACAAGAGTTGTCATATTGTCCGTTTGCGGCTAGAAAAATGATAACGGCGATTAAAGCGGGAGAAAAGGGAAAGAGAAGAGAATTTTTTTTTTAGTTAAGCAAGATATTTTTTTTCCCCGAAACAAAGCCGCGGATTGTTCACGCCCGACTAAAACATCATTGGTCAAGTGGTGATCACGTGACGCACGAAGGAGGAGGAAAGATACCCGACTAAGACCTCATTGGTCGAGTGGTGATCACGTGACGCACGAAGGAGGCTGTCGAAGCCTCATCCAGAGTATAAGTATGAGAAGCTGCTACGAAGAAGTGGGAGGGCAATTCACGCCCTCTGAAGTATGGTGAGAAAGTGGGGAAGGAGGAAAGATTCCCAAAAATGGAAAAAGTGGAAAATCCCTAACCAGAAATAAAAGAGGTGGACATGTATTTAGAATTATCGAGGAACCCCGGACGCCGACAGACCCACCCCGGTTTTGGAGGGCGTCAATAAAAGCGAGGTCCCAACAGGCAGAAATCAGAGTTCGGGCTCCAGCGGAGAGTTGAGTTTCCAGAGTTGAGTTCCAGCAGTTCCAGCGAGTTCAGCTGACCAAGATTCACGCAAATTCCGGACTCCTCTTCAACCCAAGAACAATTATTTTGAAGAGCGACTTAGAACCAGACCACCGAAATAAGTTTTTTTCGACTTTCGTCCAAAGACACACCGAAACGCCAATTTTTTAGAGAGCAAACAACTTGAAGCGTTAAAAACTTGCCTAACGGAAAACGACGTGTCACAATCCACAGAACGGGTCGGGAGATAGATGCAGTCCTATGTATCGAACAACTAGACATAAAGTTTGTTACCTTTTTCTTTGATACTTTGAACTTTTTGAGTTTTCATTTTATTTTCTTTTATGCATATTTAGTATGTAGTATGCATATTTAGTATGTGTAGTATCACCCCCGTTGAACTCGGTTTGCATTACGGCCCCAACCACTGTTTGATCTCGTCTGTCTAAGATCAATTCACAACGTGGGTGGGCAGACTGGAGATCAATGCAGTTACCTTGGTAACCAGGCGTTGGAAGCGAGTTGGGAACAACGAGGCTGATATCAAATCTAACCAGATTCCACTCGAATCACCAAAAGGTTAGAACGTCACATTTGGGTGCCGCGACCGATACCAAGCCAGTTGGTCGTCACAGGACGAGACAACACGACAGACGCGACAGGCGGACGTCACGTTTGGAGCAGCGACACCCGAACGGAGCAGCGAGGAGCGAAGAGCTGGCGCCGCGGTGAGGACGTCACAATTGGTGCTGTTTGGGGACGTCACAACTGGCGCCGTGGTAGATCAGGATAGAACGTCACAGTCGGCGCTGCGACCGGGGGACGACGTCACAATAAAATATAAGTACCTTAGAGAAAGTTCATCAGAACAATTACAATGAAAGTATTTGTAGAAAAGGCACAGGGAAGTTACATTACAGCGATGGGAAAGTGACTGAAAGCGAGATGCCAGGTCAGGACTAGTAGCATTGCAGATTCTTTATTGGATAAAAGATTTCGCGTCTGCATTTTTTAAAATCATGGTGTTACCACATTTTGTTCCTTTGTGAATCTGCAATGGACCTTTTCAAGTACTGTATTCTCCGATGGTAACGTTAACAAGAATGCAACGTGATTTGTCTAATCAGTGAAAAGCAGAGAGAGAGAGAGAGAGAGTGTGTGTGTGTGTGTGTGTGTTGTGACCAGGTAATGGTTAAGAAATAACAACACAAAAGGTTGCAGATAAATAATGTATTGAACAGTAAATACCATACAAGTGTGTTACACGATTTAGGAGTGTGTATCGGTTGAACAGTGTTCAGTCTATATCACTGATCCCCCCCCGAGGCTTACTTTTCCTACTAACTTTACAGTAAGTGGAAGAGTCCACAACAGCCTCATTCGATGGAAGACACCACAACAGAGAGAAAGAGAGAGAGAGTGAGAGAGAGAGAGAGAGGGAGAGAGAGGGGAAGCCCTTTCTATGTTTTCAACAATGCAGTTTTTGCCTTTAACGTTTTGATGATCTTGATAAAAATATCTGTCACTTGGTCAGAGGATTTTTTTACTAGTTCTGATAATTCTTAGATATCTTTTAGACTTTTTAAATGTCTTCTTCACTCTCAATCCATAGTGTTTTTTGGAAAGGAATATATTTATAGGGCCTATAGTTATATAATTTTAAATTCCAATCTCACATATAATCTTACATTTTTTTTTATTCCCTACAATAGTTCCTGGTTGTGAGTACCCATGAAAATTGTCTGAGCATTACACGTCCAAGACGTATATACAGTTACTAATATCTTACTAATATCTTACTAATCCTATCCAATTATGTACACCTTTTGGCGTGAATTGTAGCGCTCAAATATTACAGCACAGTTTTATGCCTGTCTCTGACCATGAAGAATGTCACATTTTGCTAAATTTTCTCTGTTTTGTCTACGAGTAAGGACGACTTAATTGAAATGCTTCAGTTTATTTTGTTGCAGTTTTATGGCCTTTGGTTTGATCGCCATGTTAATTTCATTACATGTGCAATTTATTTTCTTGAAATCGCCATAGATTATAATCTTATCTAGTTAGCTTTCTTGATCGAATGTTGCAGCTTCATACCAATACCATGCAGAAGGTTTCATTGGAGATCAAGTGAGAGCAAATCTCTTCAATATTGTATCAGATCGGTGCAAAAGTAATGTCTGATTTCAAGGTCTTTATTAAAAACAATATTATTATTTATTTCATAACAGTGATATAGGAATAAAATGCCGCTGCCAACACAGGACTATGAACACAGATCGCCAGAGAGCAAACCCAAGCGATTCCATTTTGAATAAGTAGATCACGTGATACTAAAGGAAATGTATATATAGGAATTATCGTGGCATCTAAAGGATCACTATTTCTACATTATCCTCTATTACTATACGGATTACTATTCGGATTATTATACGGATTACTATTTGGTGGTTACTTTTCAAGCGACTATTATCGAGCAAGTACTATTAGTGTGTTTGACACCAGTATTGTTCAGCGAGCATTACGAAAGTCACAACAAGTATCCGTTGACGTTACAAAAGTGGCAACGAGTGTTCGTTGACATCATAAAATTAAAATAACCTCCTTTGTTTCTAGAACATCATTCCACCTCTCAACAAGCTTATAAATGCCATACATGTAAAATTCCATAGTTTTTTTTAAGCATTTCACCCCAAACAAGGCGGGAAGCCACTAGGACGCAAGGGGTTACAGAAAATTTAGAGCAAGATCAGATAGGAGTGATAGAAGAAAGGATGAGGGTAGTGGATAGATCAAGGCAACTGGAGATGTCGATTGACATTACACTTGAATAGCTGGAGATTATAGCTCACAGGGAAACAGGAATATGGAAAAGAGTTCCACAGGCGAGAGGTGCAAAGACATGAAGCTATTACAGTAGAAGAGACGGCTACATTTAGGAGTTTCGACAGTGAAGGGGTGAGAGCGGGATGCCAGCCTCGTAAAGCGCTGGAACTCATGACGTCTGGGAACCAGCGAATGCAGCTCCTCGGAGCAATTGCCATGAAAGTATTTGTAGCACAGACAGAGGGAGGCGACGGCGCGTCTGTGAGAAAGTGACTGTAGACGAGACGCCAGAGCAGGGCCAACTACATTGCATATCCGCCTCTGGAGCCTATCAAGAACCCCGAGGCAAACAGAAGGGGCACCAGACCATATATGGCAGCAATACTCCATGCAAGGGCGAATTTTTGATTTGTAGATCTGGAGGATCGACTCCGGGGAGAAAAACTTACTGGCGCGGCTCAGGGAGCCAACTTTGCTTGCGGTGGACGAGGCAATTGACTCAATGTATTTATTCCATCTCAGGTCAGCAGTGAAGCAACATATATCGAACTCACTTTCAAAATCTTTTTTCAGCCTTAATGATTCTGTCGTCCTCGAAAAAAATGATAATCAGGAGTAAAAACAGGAGGATATAGTGGATGAATATTAGTTTCGTTTTCGAATTTTATTTTTTGAATTTTCTCCCAAAAATCGAAAATCGGTACTTCGGCCGTTCACTTTTGACGCCGACCACAGCACCGTGTTCGCTGCGTGTCGGACAAGTAACCTTCCGAACTCTCTGTAGCCGGCGCGCAAGTTTTATTCGCAGCACACCCAACCGGTTCGTCTCTTTGGAAATGAAAAAAGATACCGCCAAGCGGAAGACGAACGAATGGACTTACGAACGAACGTTATTTCATAACTTATTCAGTTTTTAATTTTTTAATTTTTTTTTCTTTTTGCTCGTTCAACGAAGATGTCGACGCGCTGTTCGTCTCTCGAGGAGGACGAATCGAGTCAGTCGAGGGCTTAGTCTCAATACATCGCAGTGTGGTGGCTGCTCTACTAAGTACGACACCCTGAGCCTGAAGTCAAGTGGTCTACGAGCGATCCCTCGTCTCACGCTCTACGGGGGGTTCGAAATAAAACGGCGACGAAAATCCCGCCTGTCGCGGATGTCAAATCGTGTGGCCCGTTCGCAGACGCCGCCGCGTGCGAAGCGACAGCAGCCGAAGTAGATCACCCAAGATTTTTATTCATCTGAACTGTGCGAGGACAAGCAATATCGTCATGGATAATGACACTCTTTCTGTTGACCAAGGTAGGTCACCTTTGGTTCAAAGCTGTTCGTAAGTCCTTCTCTTGGTTGTTGAACTGATTTTCCTTCTCGACTGATCCACGATCGGAGGCATTTAATTATATTGAATAGGATCTACTTCTAATCACCTGTAACAAGCCTACCTGAAAATCATGCCTGAAGGTGTCATGAAAGCGATAATTCATAAGAAGCAACACGCTGTTGCAGATTCTCTGGCAACAGTTCCTGCCAGACCCATTTCCCAATCACTGAAACCTTTCCGATCGTTTTTGAATGGCATAGCACGGTTGTATAGTCTATGTTAAATTCTTCTGAAAGTTCCCTAGAGGTAATGGTGAGATTGTCTGTGACAACGGGTACCGACATTTTGGAACCTATTTTTTTTGGGGGGGGAGGGGGGGTTGACAACCGTCTTTTTGCTCGTCTTTCAAATTGAGATCCCCACTCCGGAAACAGGAAAACTACTCTCCACAACTTCCTTTCATTCACTGCATCATTTCCATAAGCGCTGTGAATAAACTTTTCTGCTGAACTTGCATTGTCACCTTTATGAAACTCATACAGTATTATATATCGAATATGATCTTTAGATAAAATGAAAATAGGTCCGAATATTACGGAAGATCATGAAAAATATTTTTATAATCTGAAAGAGAAAGGTATAAACTAATTATTGTGATATTACTTAATAAATTTCATAGATACTATCTAAAACTTTCTTCTCAAAAATCGAACATGACTTTTGCACCAACCTGATAGAAATATTCTTTCTGATTTTGATAACGCTGTTTTCTGATTAGCTTATTATTTTAGATTTGATAACAGAATTTTTAGGATAACTTATCTTTTCTCTTTCTATTCCAACATTTTATTTAATTTCTAATGTTGTCATATTCATTAACAGATATTTTTATCTGATGACATTGCTATATCTACAAGAAAGTATGATTTTTGTCTTTTTTCTTCATATTCTCTGCTTCCTCAAAGATGGAGATTTGAGTTCATCATGGATTCTTCTTCATACTCTATGACTGAATTTTAAAATATATTTGATGCGTATAATATATGTAATTCTGTTGCTATTCAAGGCCTCATTAACCTGAAAAGTCTAATCATGCTCTTAAATAACTTCGTCCGATGAAGACTCTAATATAGATATCAAACATCTTTCTATATTTCTGAGATGAGATATTATGTACATTATTTACATTATTCAGACTATTGTTTTCATCTTTGTCGCCATATTTATTACAACGTTTTGGCCGTTGTACGCTCCGGCCTTCTTCAGGTGGTTCGAATGTCGAACTGAACCCTCTATTTCGCTCACTGGGGTAGGCTGTTCTAATTTCGAATAATATAAATAATGTAGATATCAAACATACTGCCCAACTCGTTCTGAAAATATAAGCTATATATTATCTGACATCAATGTTTAAAAATGGCTTCATACGAACGCATCCTATAGGTCCTTAAAAAGAACTCTATAGACTGGTGGTGAAGAAACATAACTCATATATTTACCAAATAATAAACTACACCACCTGTATACTTTTAAATCTATGAATGCAGGTAGATGGCAGATGTGGATCGTAGAGTCATTGTAAAATTCACGATCCTTTCATTAGCGGGATAATATGTGCTTCTCCAGGACAATAGACAACTGTACATATTCTATACTGGTTGCAAAACAAAACTAAGGAATCCACACTGTCCTATTATTTAAACCACAGCTCGGAGATTCATACGTTTTCCAAGGCTATTTGTGCAAAATTGAATGAATTGTAATCTTCTGGAATTCGAACCTGGCACTCGGGTCGCTCAAGCTGCTGCAGCTAAAACGGATACTACATGTAAATATAATGGAAGATAATGATACAATTAAGATGTTAACTTTTCATACAATTTTACACAAAAGGTTAGGAAGGAAACCGTCAAGAGTACTGGAAAGAACGATAATATTTCGCAGATATGTAAACCCTATTTACCTGTAAAAATGTATCAAGATTAAGATTCTATAAATCTCAAATGACAGTATTTTTTTTTTACCAGGATCTTTGGTGGATAAACACGACAAATTTGTCTTAGACAAATCAAGACATTGATAAAACAAGACTCTGAGGATGACATTTTGCTAACGTGGAAGTACTCTGAATAAAGAAATATGCATCAATGTGATAAATTTCTTTCTTTCTTTAACAAGGATACTAAGAAGCTTGCATGTGAATATGAGAGGATCATATTAAAATAAATTATTTATGTCTAAATTATTTAATGAGACATGTCTTAATATACACATTGCTGTAATGTAGGGAAGTTTATTGAATAGAATAATCAAACGAAGTTTGGTAATGAACGATAATACATAGGACAAGAACAACACATAAAAGATTCGCCAGCGGCGTGTAGAATAAGTAGTCAACTGCTAGAAGTGAATTAAATCAATTCCACAATGAATCTCTTACTGCAGGATATCTACTAACCGCCCTACGCCGTCAGTCCGAATTCAATGTGGGGTATACGATCCGGTAGCTTAGGCCCCAAATTCACCGTAGACCCCGTATAAAACGGGGTCGGGTAGCTGTTTCCCGAGACAAGACTCTGCCCTTCGACAGAGCCTCGTCTGGGGACCCTCACTGCCCAGAGGAAGGGAGTTTGACCAGCACAGTTGGAGAACAACATACAGTATTTACTACTGTTTTTATGAGAATGGAGACATACCCATTATCGTCCGTAGCCATGCTACAATATATATATATATATATATATATATATATATATATATATATATATATATATAGCGTCGATCGACAAATGTGACTCACCTATCCTTTGAATTTAGCTCAACTTTCGTTTCGTCGGAGAAGAGAACATTCTTCCAGTTTTCTACGGTGAAATTTTTGTAATAATGAGCCCATTCAAGTCTCTTGGCTTTGTTGGCTTTGCTTATTAGAGGCTTAAACCTTCGTGTACAAGATTTGTAGCCTTGTTCTAACAAGATTTGTAGCCTTGTTCTGATGGACTGTTGAAGAGCCAAGACTAACACGTTGCTCTTCGCTTAGACTGGCTACAATTTCTTAGCTAGCTATAGTCCTATTCTTCGCAACTTCTCTCTTGATTACAGTGCCAGTTCTATCATCAATCTTTTTCTTTTGTCCCCTTGTTTCCTTACTTGGAGCAGGAGTGGTATCATTATGTTCCCTAAGCACTCGAGAGACAGTTGCTTTCGAGGTTATATCAATTTCTGCAATTTCTCTCGTAGACTTGCCTGCTTTTGAGAAGGCAATAATAGATGCCTTAAGTGGTTCTGATGCGTGTTTGTACCCTTACATCTGGTCAGTGACTTGAGTGGCTATTTCAAGCTCTTTTTATACTGTATAAGGCTTTCTGGAATATTATGGAATACTCTGGATTTAATTTAAGCTGTTCTAGATTTCTCTAGAATATTGTTCTGCGTGTATTGTAAAATAGTTTTCAATATTTTGTCAAAAGTTCTTTAAATTTACCAGTTTAATCATTAGAATGCGATATCTGAGTCGCTTTTTTTGCACATAGTTTTTTTTCCTGAATCTCATTTATACACAAATTTATAATTATCAGTAGAATACCTTAGGAAGAATAAACTTTTTTCCTAGGTGGGTAGGAAGGGATCTTTATATTTGTAAGATTAAAAATTATTTTAGCCCCAAAAACAATAGACAAAAATTATTTTTAGTAAAAAAATCAGGTGAGTCACTTTTATCGAACAGCACTGTAATTAACCCTAACATTTAATCTATCAATCCAGACACTGAGTCTCTTGCTTCTAAAACTCGGAGCGGGTCAAAACATACACAATTAATTAGGTCGGGAATTCTTCCATCAGCCTGTCACGTGGAGTTCAGCTGTTATGTTTCGTCTGCGTCTCTTGCTCCAACTGCCGATCTCAACGAAGCGTTCGGTTTATATGTATTTAGCCCAACACTGACCCCATCTCAAACCATATTTATTATTCCTCTATTAATTATATTCTCCAAACTTAGAGTCATGAAACCGACCCTCAAACAAAGCGGCCAGCTATTTCAAAACAACAAACTTTGTTTCAACATTTCTTTCGACAATCAGCCGTTTACTAAAACAAAAATTTCCCGTCAACAAACTTTTGCGTTTAAAAATTATCTCTAAATAATTTCATTTTGTTTTTCAACTTCCAAAATGACCGAATTAAAATCTCACTGTTTACATACTGGCTTTACTTAAATTCTTTTCCCGGCCGACAATGACCATCAAATAAAAAGCACTCAACTATTCGAAACAATGATTTTTCCCGACAATAAATTTCTGCGACTTTGAAATTAATTTCAAAAGGCAAAGAATTACCTTTGTTGTTGACTTCCCATTTTTTGTCGATTTACCAATACAACCCAAATAATTTTCTGTCCATTTGCAAAACGACACTGCAGATTGTTCACATTCCGGAAATGCTTTCTTTCTTTGTTCCAAACCTAAATCTATGTTTTAAGCTTTAGGTTTTCACGTTTTCAACCCTTCGACCTCTCGAATTGCATGTAGGATCTCCACATGACCCACTCCAATCCTAAATTCACAGAACCATTATCACAATAGTGTCACAGTGTATGTGTTGATTCATGTCCCATTCTATGAGGAATTTTGTCCATTGTTCACTTCCTTATATGGGATTATATATTACGTACCATTCCAACATTCTTTAATTTGTTTCTAAAGACATTTTCCTATTTTTAATAATTAGCATGGTTTCTGAGAGGCAAATGTTCAGTAGGAGGGTGAATGGAGTCTCTCTGGCAATCCATTTAGTGATGGTGTCACGATAAAAACACCCTTGATAGCCCTAGCGAAGCATCAAGAATTCAGCTATTTGACAAGATTATGAACTACACCAATCAAAGTATTGGTGAGTTCAATCTTGGCTGAGGCCGCAAGATGATGATGATGAACAAGTTATAAGATCGAAGAACTCATGGCCGAAAAGTTATAAAAAACTACAAGGATGACGATACTCCTCTAACTGGTCGCGAAAGAATGCAATAGTTGTTTTTGAAGTCATGTCTGTTACCTCACAAAATTAAAAATGCTTATCTCTGTGATTTGTGAAGATTACAAAAGTGTTAATATTTTAAATGCCATATCTCATCACAGGCAAAGTTATTAGAATATGTTTCTATTGTTTATTAATCTACTCTATTAATATTAGTCTTAGACAATGTTACCACTTAAAGCTAGAAATCCTACTCTTCTATTTAACCTATAGCAGAGGATGAGATTAGACTGATCCCTATTTTTCACAAGGGTATTTTCACGAAGGTGAAAGCAACCGATTTACCCGGAATTTGAACCTGTTTCATCGATTTCCGTTTTTAGCGCCAAAATCCGTTATACTACCAGCACATCCTTAAAACCATTTATGGCAAAGCTATATAATATATATATGCACACGCATACGGGTTAGATAAACGCGATGCGTTATATATAACAAAAAGCGGCAATTTTATACATCGATCAATCTGTGGTTATATAGTCAACCTGACAAAATTGGTTTTCAATTGTTTGCCTTTTGTATCGATTAATAAAATCGATAGACAACAAACAAAGTGGAAACTCCCCGAACGAGATTTTGAAATCAAAGGGATCTGTAAAATCATGAAAGATTAGAAAAAGCATTTAAAAAAAAGCGGATCAAATATCAGTAATACGCGAAATCAAATTAAACTGAGGCTTGTTTAAACATTGGGAGGTGGAGTTTGAAGGAGCGTAAATGTGTAGGTCGGGTGTGAATGGGGTGATTTTGGGGGAGGAGAATACAAGAAGAGAGAGGGCGGAAATAGAAGAGTTTGGGAAAGGAAGTGGATAGGTCAGAGGTGGTCGAAAGAAAAAGGGAAAAGCAGAAAGAGAAAAACCGAAAAGAAAGAGATTCGGTAGATGTAGAAAGAAAAGGAAGGAGAAAAATCAGAAAGGAAAGGTCGAGGAGAAAGAAGAAAGAAAGAAAAGGGAGATAGAGACGGGAAAGAGAATATGGACGAGAAAAGAGAAGAGAAGAGAAAGAGGAAAAGTATTTGGGAGATAGGGTAAAGAAAGAGGAGGAGAAAGAAAAAGAAAAAGAGAACATGGCAATGAGAGAAAATAAAGTGAGATGTGGAAAAGAAAGAGGAAAAGTATTTGGGAGATAGGGAAAAGAAAGAGGAAAATTAAGTATAGGAAGAGGAGGAGAAAGAAAAAGAAAAAGAGAACACGTGAATGAGGGAAAATAATGTGAGATGTGGAAAAGAAAGAGGAAAAGAGTAACGACAAAACAAGAAGGTAAAGAGAATGAGAGAATGAGAGAAAGACGAATTGGAGAAAGAGAAGCGCAAGAAAATGGAGATGCGGAGAAATACCAGAACTGAAAGAGAAAAAGAGAACGAGAAAAAAGGGGAGAATGTATAGAGATAAGCGGGAAATGAAGAGATGATGAAAAAGAAGAAAAAGAGTAAAAAAGAAAAGAAAAGCGGATAGGGAAGAGAGAAAGAAAGAAAAGAGAAGGAGGAAATGAACGAGATTGAAAAGGGAAGAGATGTAAAAGAGAGAGAGACAGATTATGCAAGTATTAAAAGCATCAAAAGTGGAACATTTTGGATGGAAAATGAAGGTCATTTGAAGCGAGATTTAAAAAGAAAATAAAGGAGACAAAGGTATTCAATAAATCTATCTACCTATCTTTTCACATCTATCTTTCTATTTATCTCATTCTTTTTACATCTATCTATCTATCTATCTATCTATCTATCTATCTATCTCTTTCTTTTCACAACTATCTATCTATCTATCTCATTCTTTTTATCTCTTTCTTTTCACATCTATCTTTCTATTTATCTACCTCATTCTTTTTACATCTATCTATCTATCTATCTATCTATCTATCTATCTATCTATCTATCTATCTATCTCTTTCTTTTCACATCTATCTTTCTATTTATCTCATTCTTTTTACATCTATCTATCTATCTATCTCTTTCTTTTCACATCTATCTTTCTATTTATCTATCTCATTCTTTTTACATCTATCTATCTATCTATCTATCTATCTATCTATCTATCTATCTCTTTCTTTTCACATCTATCTTTCTATTTATCTATCTCATTCTTTTTACATCTATCTATCTATCTCATTCTTTTCACATCTATCTATCTATCTCTTTCTTTTCACATCTATCTTTCTATTTATCTATCTTATTCTTTTCACATCTATCTATCTATCTATCTATCTATCTAAAAAGTCACTAAAAAGATGCTGACGAGTGCAAAACTATAGGCCACAGTTAAAGCGGCTCGGGTGAAAAGATGCAACTCTCTCACTGCGGATTATGCAACTTCCTATTGAAAAGTTACGAATTTCATTTCAAAGACGGATCCAAATAAGAACTTTAAAATAATTCCTCGTGCAACTCAGAGAATTTACTATGCATTAAAACATGCAAAGGTTACCAAGAACGCTGCATTGGTCAAAGGGTAACACTCCGACAAAGGATAACAGTTCAACGCCAACAAATTAGGGATCACCACATTAGAAAAATGCCGAATGGAGGAATGAGGAGGATGAAATCTGCCAAACATTAATATCTTCCCATTATACCAATGCGAGTACAAAAAACACCGAACAAAAGCGCCTTAATAAACATTTTTATCAACAAATTTAAATCAAAACTCAATTAATTACAAAAAAACCCACAAAAAAAAAAAAAACTGAGGTATGTCCAACAAAATATATTTTATCTAATTTTCCTTACTATAAGTGACAGATAAAACAAGTCAGACCCCTTGATTTTTTATTTTATTCCTAGCTTAAGCGTCAGCACGTGGTAATCTAATAAACATTTACAACATTTTTAAAAGCTAAAAGCGAAACCGGTTAAAGAAACCACATGTAAGTAAAACAATTTTAATAATTCTCTGTAAACAGACAGGTATTATAAATATTGCATTAAAATATATATAAACATTAGATGCTATGCCAAGTCATACAATTTAAATATATATATATATATATATATATATATATAGAGAGAGAGAGAGAGAGAGAGAGATAGATAGAGAGAGAGAGAGAGAGAGAGGAGGAGAGAGGCAGGCAGGCAGGCAGGCAGGCAGGCACGGTGGAGTAATGGATAGCAGCTTGGATTGAGGAATCGGAGAGTCGAGTTCGAATTCCAGTCGAATCCATTACATTCACTTGCGTGCTGATACCCTTGGGAAAGGTGTGAATCCTCTTCTTCTCCCACATGGGTAAATATGGGTAAAATAGCAGGACAGACTGAGTTCTATAACCTTGGATGGCAACTGGTCTAGGAGAAGGACAACTCTGAATTCAAAACCTGCGGAGGGTCGTTTGTGGTACGTAGTGCACCAGGTCTCTGTATTCGGCCCTTCAAAAAGTGTGGATGGTCCTGCACGAAACCTTCACCACGATAATCAAATCTCATGTGCTGTTGTCATGTGCTGTCGGTTTCCTTGACACTCATACGTCAAATTCGACGGGAGAGTTGAGTATATATATATATATATATATATATATATATATATATATATATATATATATGTGAAAATATATAGAAAATAGGAAGGAACTGGTTAGGTAAATAGTCCAAAGTTCCTTAGTATTTTTGTTATTATTTTTAAAAAATAGTGCTCGATACAAAAGTAGAGCATAAATATAATTATTTATTTAAAAATATGATTCCAAATCGCTACATAAGAGGTCTCATGTTTCAAAACAAGAGCCGAAAACTTCAATATAATCCTTTAAATTAAATTGAGTTGAAATTAAAAAGGGCTCCGTTCCATCTTCAAGCGAAATTTTTGTTGGAATAACGTATATCTGAAATTTACTTGTTTTAAAAATTGAAATCAAAATCACCATGGTAACAGCTAGGGCGAATTGTCTAAAATGGGTAGGCGAGTGTAGGGTGTTAATAATAAGTAGCGGTATAGAGATAATTTCAAGGTGTCAAGTCGGGGAAGGTGGGGGTGTCAAAATGAAACAAAGATGTATTAAGCTTTCGTCAAGTTGGCTTGTCTATGGAGATTTATTTATTTATTTTATTTTATTTTATTATGAAAAGGAATTGTGTGCATATAAAAAAAAAAACTTTCGTAACGTTTGTTTTTTGACGACTTCATAAAGGGTTATCTTTTATGTAAGGTATTTAAACTATTAATTTGGGCTATGGATTATGAAGGGTGTTATATTTGTATGCAAGTTTGTAGTTAATGATTTCTACTACGAATCTGATGATTGGGTTATTTGTTAAACAAGTTATATAATTTTTTTTTTTATTTCAAACCAAAAGTCTGATGATGCCTACAAAAACCGTTATCTCGTGTCTATTATTTAATAGATTATTATTATTTAGAAGTTTAATAATGTGCAATTTTTCATGGAGGCACAAAGGCATGGGTCATCCCAAGCTTTACATATTCTAGCCTTGTCAATAATTTTCCATTTAACTTTTGGTGTCTTATTTGTTTCCTTCAAGTGCCAAAAATATTTTGATAGTGAAGTGTGGTTTCTTTTGTTTATATTATTAAAGGAGCACTTATGCTGCCTCCATCTATCTTTAAAATTATTCTTCGTGGACCCAGTGTATATCATATTAGTGCTAGGGCTCTCTGTGGATGAAATAGTGCATTGGTATACCACAGAATTAATACAACATATATTTTCTAATGGGCAGTCTTCTGGGTTTCTACAGTTACATAATTTTTCCCTATTATCATCTGATTTAAGTGTAGAGTTTTTATTAATACTGTTTTGGCATGGGGGTTTGTTCAAGATCTTATTATTGTGTTTTTTTATTATGCGTTCAAGATTATCAGAGCAGCTGTAGCTCAATTTTAGGGTGTTCTTATTGAATATATTACTAAGCTTACTATTGGTGGGGAAGTGTTTATTAATTAGAGCTAAAATTTCTGTCCTAGTTTAATACTAACCCTTTGGTTGAACGGAGGGTGTACCATATGATATTTCTTTTATATATATATATATATATATATATATATATATATATATATATATATATATATATGCGTGTGTGTCTGTGTATAAATGCCAGACGACTAAAATATCCAAATACGAAGACCACTACATACAGCTCCTAGCTAAGGAAGCAAAATCCTACATGAGAGACACAACATAGCTACTAAACAGAGTTAACTATATACAAAAAGTGCCAGAAAAATGCAACTCTAGTAACCATGGACGTAAAATGACTTTATTCAAACATCAAACTCCTCGAAGGACTAACCATCCTTAAAGAAGCAAGGAACAAAACCAGACCCCGCCCAGAAGTAATCATAAAACATGGAACATATTCTTATCATGAACACTTTCGACTACAATGGAAAACACTACGAACAAATAAGAGGAGGTGCCATATTCTACAATTTTCATGGGAAATTTGAGGAGACTCATATTTATCACTTCTTCGGTAACAATTACATATTCCATGCAAGATATATCGATAATATCTTCTTCATGCGTACGGGCAGGAAAGAGAAACTGAAAAATTGAATTCCTTATAACTCTAAAATACGGTACGCGACAACATTAACTTCCACCATGAAAAATCATCAAGATCTGTAACATTTTTAGACACTCGCACTTACATCGATAAAAACAGATAACTACAAACGACACTACACATGAAGATCACCCACAACTATCTACATTTTAAGTCCTCCCACCTAAAACACCCCAAGGAAAACCTTCTCTATTCACAAGCACTTAGACTCAGAAGGATATGTTCTAACAATAAACAACTAAGTAACCGTATTAAAAATCTCAAGCATCAGTTCACAACACGTGGCTATAAACAACACCTAATCAGGGAACAAATAAATAAAGCAATTCCCACACATAAAGAAGACGACTAAATAAAAAATTAAATATAAATCCAGACGTATCTCTTCAGTAACCACTTTCAACACCACTCTTCCTCAACTATCTCAGATAATCAGAAGTTGCTAGGAAATATTACATCTCAAATCGGAGCTAAAATCTTTGTTAGAAGAATCCGGCTTCTAGCATATCGTAGACCTAAGAACCTTAAAGAAAATTATTGGTAATAACCAAATTCCAGATGATAAGGTAATAGACCAAGAATAAAAACAGGAGGATTTTCCCAACTGTGTACAACAGAAGGAGCCTATGTTGTAACCACATTAGACATACCAATTCGTTCACTAGCCCAGTCACTAAATCTACTTCCAAATCTACCACAACTACCTGTATAAGTCATAACATAAGTTACTTATTAGTATGCACACTATGCCAAAGACAATATGTGGTAAAATCTGCATGGCCCTTTTACTACAGTATTATTTAATAATCGGAATCGGATGAAGTTGGTTCCTCACGAAAATTATTACCTGTAGAACAATATTTCCGCCTAGAAAAAAGTAATTTTAAAACCATGCAAAATTCACTATAATTGAAAAAATAGAAATAGACAGAAAAGATAACCTTAGACAAATACTAAACAAACATGAAAACAAATGAATTTTTCGCCTCAAAACACGTTGGCCATACCGACTTAACCACAAATTTAACATCACAGATAGAATTAATATATAATCCTATAAATCAAGCGCTACCCACACTTGTCACCCACACAAGACAGATATGCTTGCAGAGGTGTTGAGGTCTCACACATATACACACACTCAAACAAATAATACGCATACACACATCACACACACTACCCAAAAACTAAAAGATAACATACATTTAACACACACATCTTCTTCCCAGCAACCAGTAAATCTGTCAAAATGACCAAAGAAGGAATTCTGAGACACAGAAATCTCCCAGCCTATATTTTAAAAACAACTTGAAAGAGGTCGTTTCACCAATACAAGGGCTGACACAAACTAACGATAAAAAACAAATGAAAACTACAGATAAAGTTCACTTTCTTCAGAGACAGTGGTTCACTCCTGTAGTTCACTGCTACTAACACGTAGGTTATTTTTTTCTGATGATGATGGCCATGCTGACCGAAACCTGTAGAGTAACTTATTCGAAATAGTAAAAAAAAAACAAAAAACGAATAATATGTAATACAGTGTGTCTGAATATTTTAATTTTTATTCTGCAACACACACACACGTACACACACACACACACACACATACAGATATACTTTTTTATAATATATATATATATATATATATATATATATATATATATATATATATATATATATATATGTCTATATTTCTGAGATGAGGTCTTATGTACATTATTTACATTATTCGGACCTTTGTCCCCATCTTTGTCGCCATATTTATCACAACGTTTCGGCCGTTGTACGCTCCGACCTTCTTCAGGTGGTCCTCAAAGACACATGGCACAGTGGATAAAGGCGTTGGTTAGATCCAGTGAGAGAACCCAAAGAGTGTGAGTTCAATACCCGGTTAAGGTAGTGAAGAACTTTCAGAGGGAAATTAACAGGAGATGGCAGGTGGAACTACAACAGTCTACCCTAGTGAGCGAAATAAAGGTTCAGTTCGACATTCCAACCACCTGAAGAATGCCGTATATATATATATATATATATATATATATATATATATATATATACTATAATCAGTTCATCCAGACAGATATACCGGGATAAAAAGAGAAATGGAAAAGATAGAGAGAAAGAATAAAGAAGAATGCATATAATAGGAAATAAAGAAAAAGAAAGAAAGAAAAAGAAAAGAAACGAAAGCCGGAGGAAATAACAGATGACCCTATAGGAAAAATAAGTAGATTGAAAAATGTCCTTAAAAGGTCTTATATAAAGAGAAAATATATCCGTAAGGGGAGGTAGAGGGATAGGTGCTATATAGGAATAAAATGCCGCCGCCGACACTTGAGTTTGAACATAGAACGCTAGTGAGCAAACGCCTTTATTGAATTAAGTAGACCACGTGACCATAGAGGAAACGCATTTGTGTGTGGTAGCGTGTGTCTAATTGATTTCATTCCTATTCAATTCTCTATTTCTAGTCGGCACTATTTCTCTATTCTATTCACTATACTATTTCTCTATACAGATCGCTCTATGGATATGGATTACTCTTCGAGCGAGTATTATCGAGTAAGTACTATTAGTGTGAGTGATATTCGAAGGCCTCTGAAAGCAGCATTGTTCAATGGCGTTACTATAGTTGTGTCTGCGATTACAGAGTCTATACTAATATGTTGGCATCACAAAAGTGGCAACGAGTTTTCGTTGAGATCACAAAATTAGGAAGTTAAAAGAGTTACAAAAATGTGTCACATTAAGTCAATGAATGTGGTATGAGTTTAGACGACAATCATTATCACCACATAATACAATCATCATCGTTTTAAACTTATAATAATAATAATAATAATAAATATATCCAACATAAATAAAATAATAAAATAAATTGAAAATATATTAATAAATAAATGAAAAAATAAATCAATAATCAATAATATATCTAGATACTTATTATAAACAAATTTAAAATATATAAAGAATTGATAAAGATAAAATATTAACAATAGCAACAACAACAACAACAATAATAATAATAATAATAATAATAATAATAATAATAATAATAAATATAAATTATGAATTATAAAATTTTAAATATGAAATAAAAAAAATTATATATAATATATTAAAGTCAAATTTAAAATAATCCCTAGCAATTACTAACTGGTATTATCCTTATATATATATATATATATATATATATATATATATATATATATATATATATATATATATATATATATATAATGGACTCTCCGTCGGTTTCGACGTATGAGGATCTGAGAGCTTATTGATTCAGTTATGAAATTTTATGCGATAATCTTAAGTGGCATTTAAGACCCGCTAGTGATTTACAGAGGAGGCCACATATGGAGCAAGAGGGAGGAGTGTGAGATGAGATCACTGTTATGTTGGCTGACCCTTTAGATCTTGCTCTCACTTCTTGAAGATGATTCAGACAAGCAGATTCAAAATTGCTGTGTCCACTAAAACACGTTGATCTCCATTCTATCCGCTCCAAGTCTAAGCGCTTAAGTGTGATATGTGGTATATTGACTGCTGACAAGTTGCTTTTCAGCTTGTCTTTGTATCTTAACCATGGGCGTTCTACATTCTTGTAGCCCTAATCTTACTGGCTGTACATTAGGATCTTGGGTATCCTGTCATCAGACATTCTCAAGACATGACCAGTCCACCGTAACTGAGACTGTATGATAAAAGTCTCGATTCCTCCAATATTACACCTTTTAAACAGGTCTACGTTAGGTCTATCTTGAAGGTTAACTCCACAGATTGCACGCAGACAGCTTTTATGGAAAACATCTAGCTGGCGTATATCTGAATGGAGTCCATGACTCTGAGCCATACAAAAGAATGGCAAGTACAACAGCTCTGTAAACCCGAATTTTCGTATCCAGTCGAATATCGGTCATTAAACACACACAAACACACACACACACACACACACACACACACATATATATATATATATATATATATATATATATTTATATATATATATATATATTAATTAAAAAATATCAAGCACTAAAATTCCATAGGTTTAGTTTATATTACTTTTGTCTTTTGACATACGACTCTCCCTGTATCTATATTCTGCTGGAAATCCATACCATACTGTATCATTACTATATATATATATATATATATATATATATATATATATATATATATATATATATAATTGAATGGAATGACATCGGTAATTCCTCATTTGAAACTAGTCTGGAGATATTTGGCATTTGATGGATTATTTTTCTTCGAATTTTTTTGCATGTAAAAGATTTAAGGCTACTTTAACTAATATGGCCCTACTTAGGCACACCCAAAGAGCATTCGGTGGCAAATAGATATGTTTTACCTCACAGTTTAAATTATTCATTCAAGAACCAACATCCCGACTAACAATGTCAAAAAAAAAAAAAATGTAAAAAAAGAAAGAAAGAAAAGTGAATTCGATGAGGGTCGGAAATATTGTCTCATCTCCGAGGAGCTTTTTTTTTTTTAATCCTCTTCCGCCAGTGGATGTGCAAATTATGTAATGGATACCGGCTCTGAATGACCACTCACTTTCGGTAGATGATCCACTGCTCTAATCTGTGTCCAAAGCCTTCCATATATCCCAAGATTGTCAAAATTTCTAAGCACATTTTTCTCATTAAGTTCACTAGAAATTTCAACTGTTTTTTCCTGTTGCTAAGTTTAAGTGACATTTTTGTTTTCATTTTCTCTAAAACCTCGTCGTTTCTCACAATGTCAGTCTATGTTATTCCCAGCACCTTCTATTGCTGTTGCTTCGAGTCGCTTCTTCATCCCTGATTGTATTCTTAAGAACTGATTACCATATAGGAAAACTGACATAACAGTTCAGTATTGATCCTTTTGTTTTTGACAAAATTTTCCTGCTTCATAATACTATCGTTCGCTATCAAAAGCCATCTTCGGATTTGAGTGTCTCTTGTTTTATCCTTTGTTAAAACACTTTCTAGATATTTAATTTTTTATACTGATTTGCTTTTACATTATTTACATTATTATTTACTGTTTATTATAAACAGCATTTACTTAAATATTTGTATCTATAAAAAAGAATGTATAAACATAAAGATGTCTTAAAATAATTGTCTGACTTTGTCCATTTTATTATATATATATATATATATATATATATATATATATATATATATATATATATATATATAAGACAGAGAAAAAATAAAAAAGCTGGTTGTGGTTTAATTGCACATCAGTGGGGAGGCAATGATTTCCTTCACTTTTAGTTAGATCTGAAAGCTTAAATAAAAGACTAAATTTGTCAGCTCGGCCTCATCAAGTTCTCCACAGCCTTAACCGGGTATTGAGGTCACACTCCTGTCACTGGATCTAACGCCATTATCCACTGTGCCATGTGTCCTGGAGAGGGAATTAAGCAGGAGATAACTGATAACTGACATTCATTAAACATGGCACGTGGAACAGTCTACCCCAGTGAGCGGAATAAAGGTTTCAGTTTGACATTCCAACAACCTGAAGAAGGCCGGAGCGTACAACAGCCGAAACGTTGTAATAAATAAGGCAACAAAGATGAGGATAATAGTCCGAATAATGTAAATAATGTACATAATACGTCATCTCAGAAATATAGTCAGTGACTTGCTTTTTGTATCTCCAGTTTGTAATTCACTTGTTTATCTGTTAATTTTGTTGATCACAATAATCCTTGGTTTCTAAAAATTGAATTTTAGTCATTTCTTTTTTTTCTTTCTTACTTTCTTTCTATGTATCTTTCTTTCTTTTTTCTTTCTTTCTTTCTTTCTTTCTTATTTTCTTTCTATCTTTCTTCCTTCCTTTCTTTCTTTCTTTTATTCCTTCTTCCTTTCTTTCTTTGCTAATGTCTGTGGTAGCTTCTGTAATTTCTTTACTGTGTCTCTTATTAACACAATGTCATCTGAATATCTAATATAATTAAGAATATGGCCACCACTAATGAATCCTATTAGTACTTCTACTTTTCTAAGAATCGCCTCACTGTATAGGTTGAATAAGTTCGGCGAGAAGACACATCCTTGACTTACGCGCTTCTCCATTTTGCATATTTACTGAATTCATTTTCTATTCTTATGTAGGAAGTTTGCTACGAGTATGTTCTGGTATATTCTAATATTCTTCTCACAAGCTTACCTAGCAGTTCCAACAGTTCATTGTGTCCTGACTTATCAGACGCTTCTGCATAATCTATAAAACGTATATATATATATATATATATATATATATATATATATATATATATATATATATATAAATATATACTTCGGCATCTGTAGTGTTCTTTCTGATATCATTCTGAGTTTCGTCTTTCTAAAACAAAAGGACATCTTTATTTTCCTTCTCCTACACCAATATAAGAATTCTACCATTCAAGTAGTCGAGACACACCCTCAAGAGAGGCCAATCGAAATTACATCCGGTGTAAGGTTTCCACCAGTCTTGTCTTTCATAGTTACGACTCGCCATGTCACATACACCTAGGTGACTCATCCTTATTCCTTTCGTATTTCATTGGGGAGAAGGAAATTCGACTCAGACAGCTTCTTCCCAAGAACTGTTGCACTGTGGAACTCAATCCCAAATGACACATCTCTTATCGTTACCATCTTGGTCTTCATGTGGAAAGTAAACTCTTTTTTGGTTTGATTTGGTTTGTTTTACGGTATATCAAACTCAATGGGTTATTTAATGCCGACAACATTTATTTTGGATAGATTCATATGAATAGAGTATGTATTATTTGGTTTAGATTGGTTTGGTTTATTTTGTTTTACAGCATATCAACCTCAATGTGTTATTCAATGCCGACAACATTTTTAGGATATATTCGTATGAATAGAGTATGTATTCTTTGGTTTAGATTGGTTTGATTTATTTTGTTTAACCTCAATAGGTTATTTAATGCTGACAAAATTTTTATTTCAGGTAATATTTTTTCTTAAAAAATGTATAACTGGTAATATCTTTTTTCAAATATGTATTGCTGATAATAAATATTTTTTACAAAGTATTTCTAGTATTAAAACCTATTTTTACATTTACATAGTGTTTTGACCCCAGTTTGTGCGGGTTAACTATTTGCCCACAGTTGGGACCCTAACAGGTGCTACCACCCCGGGTCAGGGTGGACCTGGGAACACCAGTAATTAAGAGGTGGTTCCACGCTCCTCAAAACCTCCTAATCAGAGGCCTTGCTAGTTTATCGTCTTACCCAAGACGCAGATGTAGTTTATCGTCATACCCAGGGCGGAAAGTAAACCCTTATCTATCAAAACTATCCTAATAATATACAATGCCTTTACATCATTCTCATTTTCCGACCCTCTACCCTAAAATGCTCTTGGGTAAACAAGAGTAAAAAATACATTAAAAATCCTGACCCCTCAACTTTATGACCCAGCATGACTCTCGAAATCGCCATGGCCGTCTACGGCCATCCTTCCCACATATGTGGATCTATCTAGCACTAACGAAAACTCTATTCTCATTTATATTTATTTTAATTTATATGCTTTTACGTGGCCCTTGTTCATAGTTTGATCTTTAATATCGGTCATTCTTAAGATGATACAGTAATTATTTTTACTAAAACTTGATGATATCCTGTTTTGATTATCCCTCAGCTAATATTCATATCAGTAGTGATTTCAATGTCCGTCGAGAGCAGCTGTTATTTTCCTCAAACAAAATTGATGAAGAAGGTAGATATTGCTAAGATTTATCCCTTGGTTGCGATCTGGCCTAGATCGTCGATGAGTCCAGACATGTTCCCCTCATAGTAAGTAACCGCGTAAACCTTTTTCCCTAGCCGTCTTTGTTAAATATACTTCTGTGGTGTTAAATCTCATCTGTTCCTGAGACAACTCACTGGTTTTTGTAAAGATTGATATCAAACCAAAGTCATCCTCTGATGTCTCAGTACATCGGACAATTTTCCGATACCACAGAGCTGACTGGGATAGATTCAGATCTTTCAATGCTGAAGAACCTTTCTCAAGATTCTTCAAAAACAGAGACTCGAGAATAGATTCACTTATTTTTGAGTGGTTCCTTTCCGCTATTGACCGTAATTATCAGTAAAGATCGTATTGTCAGTCTTGGTACACGTCTGGATATACTGCTGCCATAACTCTCCGTAGCCATTAATACCATCTCTATCGCCGTAAATGGAACAGTGAAACTTGAGAAGAATTCAGATCCGCCAGCGACGATTGTAAAAATAGTTCACTGTCAGTAGAAGCTAGAATTAACAGCAAAACACATGATACAACTTAATACTAGAAAATAACTCCTCCATGGCATCACGAGAAATGAGCCTTAGATATTTCAAATGTTTGATTAGGTGTGGCCTAGGGTTTGTTATACAAAATATCCAGCTATAGGAATTATAGTTTTTTTTTTCTTTCTGGGGGATCCGTGAAGGTCGTTCAGAATAGTTAGCCTTGTGCAGCCCATGTGATTAGACCAGCCGCCTCGCACGTTTCTTTCTTCAAAACAACTCGAAAAACACATTTGCTAACTTGATCTCATCCACGTCGACAAAGTGTGGTAACCTAGGGAAGGTTACTGAATAGAATAATCACACGAAGGTTAGTAAAAAACGATAATACTTAGGACAAGAACAACACATAAGATTCGCTACCGTCGTGTAGAAGAAGTAGTCAACTACTAGAAGTGAGTCAAGTGAATTGCACAATAAATCTCTAACTGCAGTATATCTATCCCCCCACCCCACATGTTCAGATGAGGCACAAGGCCGAATTTAATATGTGGTATCCAAGCTCTTAGGCTCGGCCAAAATTTCCCCGTAGACGCCGTATAAAATGAGGTCGGGTAGGTGTTTCCCGAGACGAGATTCTGCCCTTCGATATAACCGCGTATGGGGATCCTCTCTGTCCGGAAGCAGAGAGTTTGACCAGGACAGCTGGAAACGAATCTCCAACTGCAGAATATCTACCAACCGCCCCACGCGGTCAGATGTTGCACAAAGCCGAATTTAATGTGGGGTATCCGAGCCAGTAGTCTCGGCCAAAAATTCCCTGTAGACCTCGTATAAAAAGGGGTCGGGTAGGTGTTTCCCGAGACGAGACTCTGCCGTTCGATATAGCCTCGTTTGGGGATGATCCCTGCTCAGAAGCAGAGGGTTTGACCAGCAGAGCCGAACACGAATCTCCAACTGAAGACCAACATATAGTATTTACGACTGTATTTATCCGAATGGGGACGAACCCATTATCGTTCGTAGGTAGGCTACAATACTAACCAAACTGCGCATTTCTTGATGTACCATGGCTTGAATATCTATTGTAAATCGATTTTTTTGAAAGTCTAAATTTGAACGCCTATATACGATCCATTGCTAAAGATGCTATAGGAAATGGTTGCCTCTTTTGTATCGCTCTTGAAAATACCTGAACACTTCTGCCATGAAGGTGAGATCAAAGACAGAGCATTCCTAAAATAACTGGGCTGGATCTTCTTCATCTTCCATTTTTAACTATGACGGTGTTCAAAATCGTTTATGCGGCTTTGTGGTGGATTAAATATTTTACATTCTGTCGCAAGTTTGAAAGTTTATCGCTATTCTATGGTTATTCCATGTCAAACGTTCATATAGGCTCCACTCTTTAGTTCCGCCAATTTAGATCGTTATAGCTAAGATAAATAAGGCTACATCGAATCAGCCTCATTTCCTCCATATTCCATTTGTAAGGATGAAGTTCAAGACAGATTTTTCTCAAGAATTTCGGCTCAGTGGAACAGATACTCGCAAACCTCCGTCTGGTCACCCTTTTCCTTCATCTTTTATTTTATTCATATCAAACACATTTACTAACTTACTACTTTGCGTCGCTTTGGAAACTTGTATGATTCTTAGTAAGAAAAAAACAAAACAAAAAAAACAAAAAAAAAAACAAAATGGGAGACATATGCATAAATGCAAATGCATATGCATAAATGCACCTGTTTTCTTAAGGGCATTTCTGCGAAAGCGGTCTCAACGGCTTCAGCAGGATTTTGAAACCAACACATGGACATTTTCCACATCGGTAACCACGAGGCTACACGTAAACTCTTTATAAAACCTAAACATTTAATAAAGAAAACTAATTTCTTTTTAAAACACAGGCACACACCCTACACGCATATGCAAACATATACACGGATATATATATATATATATATATATATATACTTTCAAACATACTTACTCTCACTCACTTTATATATATATATATATATATATATATATATATATATATATATATATATATATATATATATATAAACACATATTTTTACACGGGGAAAAACTCAGTCATACATACAAAGCAAAAAAAAGCACTTTCAGCAAACTCTAGATTTGTGTAGGGTAAATCATATACGAAAGAACAAATCTCAATAAAACGGGGTGTTTTGTTTTTTTATTTATTATTTTTTGTTATCGCCTGCATATCGACTTAAGCATTTCCTCTCAGATATTTATCCTTCAAACTAACTTTCCTTATTTTCCCAATTCTTCAATTTGATTTTATTATTTCATTTTTATTATTCTTTTTTCCCCCGACTTCTCCAATATACATCGAACATTTACTGCAGAGGATTTTTTTTCCTTGCGTCCTACATTTGAAAGATCCTTATTGATTTCAAATTATCTAAATTCGCTCGGGCACCTCTATATGGCTTGAAAAATTTACTGGGTCTCTTACTTTTCTGTCTTTCTTTCTTTCTTTCTTTCTTTCTTTCTTTCTCTCCATATCGTTTTACGAGCCCCTTCCCCTACCTCGACTCTCAAATAATTTTCTTTATCGGATATTTTCCTACAACAGTTGGAAAAGAATTGAATATAAAATTCTTTTGTATGATTTCCTACCGGAAGTTTCAATAACTTTTGCAATCATCGGTGAGTATTTTTATCATCCTCATCAATATTATTTCAATCACAGTTCTTAGAAAATGTTATAATTATTATGAAGAGAATAATCCCTTCATCTATTTATCTTAGCCGGTTCTTTATCTATCTATCTATCTATCTATCTATCTATCTATCTATCTATCTATCTATCTGTTTATATTACTTGCTACAATGTGAATGCAAGTGAAAAGTTAATATCTATCTATCTATCTATCTATCTATCTATCTATCTATCTATCTATCTATCTCATTCATTTCATGCCTATGTTCGCTTGTGTCTAATTTTAAGAGATCTATATCTATTTCACCATTTCATAATATCGTTCCGACTGCCCATCTCTCTCTATCTCTCTTGCTCCCCATCTATCTATCTATCTATCTATCTATCTATCTATCTATCTATCTATCTATCTATCTATTAGATTGAGTTGTAAATAATTTCAGCTTACGTTTATCAACTTTGTTTAATAATATAATTGTTAAACTTAAACCCCCACCATGCATATGTAGGGCAAGAAAGATATGCAGCGAGACACTTACTTGAACTTGTGTGAAAGAATGGCCACAAAGGAAAGGAAGTTGTGGAGAGTCGCAATCACCTATCCCCTGAAGAGATGCAATGCGTACAAGAAAAACAAATCTATCTCATTCATTTCATGCCTATGTTCGCATGTATCTAATTTGAAGAGATCTATATCTATTTGACAATATCTATCTATCTATTTATCTATCTATCTATTTATCTATCTATTTTATTGATTTTATGTCTATGTTCGCTTGTATCTAATTTGAAATCTATATCTATTTCACCATTTCATAATATCGATCTCTCTGTCCATCTCTCTCTATTTCTCTCTCTCTCTCTCTCTCTATTAGATTGAGTCGTAAATAATTTCCGCTTTCGTTTACCAACTTTGCTCTCCAGAAAATAAAGTACACTTATATTTTATTCAATTATATGTCACCGGCTCTTTACATAGACTCATTGCCTCTTACCAGGCAGCTTCTCAATACATTCGGAGTAAAATTTCGGAATTTTTTATGTGAAATGTTCATCCACGAACACTTGAATCTGGTTTTCATAAGAGAATAATTTCCCCACATCCAACCGTTTTGCAGCGATCGAACACCATTTTCTCTACTGATGAGCACAGGGCGTTTTTCGACCATCATTTTGTGGACACGTTGCAGCTACTGGATGTGAAAGCGTGCATTTAATGTTTCTTTGCGTTTTTGATCACACCACACCTACAATATTGTCATTCTTTCATGGAGATGAGGTTTTAAGATCGTTTATTGAGACTCATCCTCGTCAATTCACTGTTTTTTAAGTTGGACATTGTCGGATGTTTTTCTCAAAATTTCTTAACTGCCACGTATGATTGATAGTTAAGAGGATACGCTATTAATCACCTGAGATAGCCCTTTCTGGATTCCAGGAGCATGGCTGATGTTAATCTTCAGGAGAGTGACTCTTTGCACCTTCTCTCGCCCAACATGATGGGGAAAGACTCTATTGAAACCAGTGCTAGGTTCGCTTCTAAGACATTTTGTGCACTGGATGGTGCTAGACACTTTTCTATCGATGATATATTTTACGTATCTCTAAGTTTACTATTCGCCCATTCTGAGAATATTGCTGTCACATATGGTCTGGTGATCTTACACCCTTGTGCAAATTAATTGAAACAACTGCTTCAGTTTTCTCTCTTTCACTATACTCACTGGATTGACAGGGTGCAATCGATTTCTATTTCTTCCTCAGATTAGGTCATTTGCTGTGGTGTGCAGTAATATGAATCTCTTTTCGGGGTGTATGATGAAATTTGTTTGGCCTTGAAAAATATTGCGTCATCCGTGATTATTGTATCCGATTTTCATCACGCTCAGACACTATTGTCTTGACTGTCGATTAGTTGTCCTGCGGCCATTGTCTACGATGGATATTAATCCAAGGAAGCGTACGAAAATTGTAACTCTGCCCGAACACACTGGAAAGCCTTACTAGTGAGCAAATCAAAATATTATAGACTGGGCCGGAAACTCTCAATGGAGAATCTGTGGTCAAGGAACGGCTTCGTGGAATAGACATACGAAGTACTAACATGTGAACTGGGTCATGTTTCGTTGGAAAAATACTAAGAAAATGCAAATATTAATGAATTATTCTTTTTTTTTTTTTCAATTAATTTGAACAATGGTGTTCTATATATAGAGAAATTCTTGATAAAATCCAAAGAATGATCAGCAATATTATTGGTCGTGACTTGGCGTATCGGCTTCAGTCACAATTCCCACCGTAAAGTTGCTTCCCAGTCCATTGTCTATTAATATTTTCTCGGTAATTATTCGGATGGGTTCATCGCCATGTTAATGTATTATTTTAAGCGCAGTAAAGTGATCGCTTTATATTTGACTTGGCTAGATGTAAGCGTCGCTTCTATGATAACAGTTTTTCGTTCTCGCAACTGCCGCTTTTGGAACTTTCTTTCGATCCCAAGGTTTCCAGCCAAATTTGATTTTCAAAAATTTAAAGGCAAGCGTCAGTCGTTATCTACTATTTTCTTGATTACTCTTCCATAGTTGTCGCCCTTTAATAATGTTTCAGTTTTGTAATTCTTTCACGCTCAGTAATCACTTGTATCTTAGTGGCTTTAATCACTTGCATGGTGTGAATTTGATTACAAAATGATACATTAGTTATTGCATTTTCGAAATACGGAAATTTATCATGGATGCAATTTCGAACAGATCAATGTATTTTAGATCTGGTGGTGGCTGTACAATACCGTGCACACAGTTCTGCAGGAGTTTTGAAAAAAAAAAAACAATTTGTGAAAATGGATCCTGCTACAGGTATGATATATACATATCTTGTTACAGACAATTAGTATTACTTACTATCTCTATCTATAAAATGCAGGATGTGTGTGTGTGTGTGTGCGTAAGAAATGCACGGCCACAATTTTTGACAGATATGCACCAAAATTTACATTTACATGCTCCAAGTTAGCGAGAAGGCCAAGATCGACTTTGCATTTCCCAACTCCTATCTACTGGCCAGAGTAAGAGCCTATAGCTGGCTGCCACGAATAGGCAGGTAGATTCTATTAGCCAGCGTGAGAGCCAACAGCAACTGACACGAATGTTAACTAGCATGCTAGAATGCAAAAAAAAAAAATCGATACCTTCATTCGTCATAAGCGGGGAAAAATTTAAATCTGCATGGCACTTTACTCCAATTGGCTCATTCGCTTGCTTAAAACACAACGTTGATTCGGATTCCGCAGAACTGTGTTTGGCTGTGAAAAAGTATTTGTTGTTAACATTCTTTTTTCATTCGGTTTTTCCAGTTACGAGTCCTTTTTTAAAGCTGATCGTTTTGTGTTCATTTTGTTTAGTTCTTTTTTCGTAACAGATTTAATGTTTAGTATAGAGCTTAGAAAAAATTCGCAGTGAGAGATAGGCAAGAAGTAAGGCATGTAGCAACATCAGCGCGGCAAAGGGCACTCATTTAAAGGCAAGGTAGGGCAAAAATATTTTAATTCAAGTGATAGCGATTGCTGTATGGGTCGTACGATTTTTGAATCAAGCACGGGCAATGTCGGGTCATACTGATAGTTTAATATATTTCCTGCTGGTGAGTTTTCCGGCGAAATAACGAAACTCACAATTCTGCGCCATTGATCATCGCTCTCATCAATTTCCTTTCACTTTCTAGCTCTTAGCAAACATGTATTGATGTTAAATCCCCTAATACCTGCAAGCTAAACCATTTACACAACCTCATTAAATAAGTTCGTGCCTTTCTTTCTTTTGACCTTCTTGCCTTCAAGATTTTACAAACCTTCTTTCCTCATTTGACATTTCAACTGTCTCTTTCTGATTTTATGCGTTGTTTTTTGCCATTTTCGATAAATATTCGTCGTTGCTAACACGTTCAGTCCATAAAATACTCAGCATCCTTCTGTATAACCACATTTCCATCCCTTCAGTTGTGCGGTTGTATAAGTCCGGTGACTAAACACATCCTTGTCTCATACCAGTTTCTGCTTTGTATATTTACTGAATTCATTTTCTAGTACCAGGAGCATAGAACTTACGACTGAATACTCCATAATAGTTGGTATTATGATATATATATATATATATATATATATATATATATATATATATATATATATATTGGTGGCTCTTAATAGTACCTGCCGTAGATCAGATGTTTACCAAATATAAAAGAAGAAAAAGAAAAAAAAAAGGAAAATAAAATAAAAATAAAACACTATGGATGATTCAGAAAAGTTTTCTTTTATACAAAGAGAACATTATTTACATTATTCGGACTATTGTTCACATCTTTGTCGCCATACTTATTACAACGTTTCGTCCGTTGTATGCTCCGGCCTTCTTCAGGTGGTTGGAATATCGAACTGCACCCTTTATTTCGCTCACTGGGGTAGACTATTCTAGTTTCACGTGCCATGTTTTAATGGATGTCAGTTATCAGTTATCTCCTGTTAATTTCCACCTGAAATAGAGGAAAATTAACAGATAACTGATAACTGTTCTTCATATAGGAGAACATGTCTAAAGACTGTGTGTACGCAATCCCGTGCAGCCGCTGAAAGAAATATAAAGGGGAGACAGGCCGCCTACTTAAGTTAAGGCTTCAAGAACACCAGAGAAGTGGAAAAAGAGAGAAGGGAGATCACCGCCCTCTGTGGGATCATGTTGAGAACATAGACAGGGAACACCATTGGGAAATTCATAAACTTAAGGAATCAGCACATATGCTAGGCTATAAAAATCTCCTGAGCCGACCAAGCATAAAAATAAATACAATATAGGAAACAGTAATAACGAGTGTCCGAAAAAAGCAATAATAACAACAAAAATTGCAATATGAGCTCTGGTAAAAAATGATTCTTGAAGACATTAGGTTTATAATACCCAGAAATTGATACACAGTGGATAAAGGCGTTAGTTCTGTCTGGTGTTAGTTAGATCCAGTGACCGGACCCAAAGTGTGTGAGTTCAATACCCGGTTAAGGCAGTGAAGAATATTAAGAGGGAAATTAACAGGAGATAACTGATAACTGACATCCATAAAAAATGGCACGTGGAACTAGAACAGTGAGTAAAATAACGGGTTCAGTTCGACATTCCAACCACCTGAAGAAGGCCAGAAACTTTGTAATAAATATGGCGACAAAAATGAAGACAGCAGTTCGAATAATGTAAATAATGTACATAATACCTCATCTCAGAAATATAGACAAAAAGAGAACATGCTACCAAAATATAGAAATGTGTTACATGCCTTTTCCCCGACTATGAAAAAGGAAAATTAGCAATTATTAGAAAAATCTATCTTTTCTGACAAATTCAGAGAGAAATATTAAAAGTTGTTTTTTTCCCGTAT